ATATTTAAATATTTAATCAAATAATACTATAATAGTTCCTGTTGAAAATTAGTTCATTCTATCGTATTAAGAACAGAAAAATAAATTAATAACGGTGATATATATAATACAATTTTATAACACAATTTTATTAATCATTATTTTTAACTTTTTAAGGTTATAATTTGAGAAAAATATATCGGCTAATGATCAACTTCTTGAAAAAAACGGAGTACATCTATACATTCAAATATTGTACTATTTTGAAAACGTAAAATGTAAACTATGATAATCTTTGTCGTTGATGTTTTTAATGATCAATAAAAAAAAAAAATAATGAACAAACAATTTCGATTTAGTCGAAACTAGTTTTGCGTCTGTATTCTCGTTTTCGTTCTTATTTCATCTCAAATTATATTGTACAGTTCTTTATATTTTTTTCTTCTTACTTTCATATTTTACCGAAAAACCTAATACTGTCTACTATATAAGAACTGTGCATAACAAAAACAAACATTACAGCATATCGCGGTGATGTAAGCTATCTTTACCAAAAAATACAATAATCTATATATCCATATATTATCTTACCAAGATGCCCCTCACTACCGTTCGTACGAGTAATAGAATAATCATGTTGTTAGGTTAGGTTAATCTTTGTCGTCATGCTTTTCATACATTCGTTGCTTGTCTAGTGGTTTAAGGTCTATATATATACCACACCACTGGAAATCAAACAAGTGTTTCTCGTACATATATCATAATGATGATAAAATCAATATTAACTATTATACATAATATGGTAGGATGATAGTTATAACATCATTGTAGATCAAATACGACGGTATTTCTTCAAAATAAATAGATACGCCGAAATAATAATAACAGTTTACATTATATCTAATATAGAGCGCAACGCCCCAGATAGACTATAATAGGTATAATATACCATAGTACAGATACCTATACCTCCTACGCATTACTATAACTATCGTCTACCTACGCGAGTATTGTGCATTATACAGTCGAAATCTCTGGTTATCCCGAAGTGCAGCTATTGTTGTTATGAGATAGCACGAAACAAATTCCAAGGTCAATTACTACCGAAACACGAGATTGTGGAGTACATAATATTATGAGCTGTCTGCACTACAATAACAGACAAAATCAATTATTTAATTACATAAAATATAATATACGCACGTTATGCGCAAGGAGTGTTCCGGGAGTGGATGCACTAGTATTGTTATTATTATTCGCACTAACACGGTGTAATGCATATTAATATAATATAATATTAGTACGTCATATTATTATATTTTATGCCATACAGAAATGAGCGCACAATACATCATTATAACGTTTGTTGTGGTATACTCGAACAAGAGACCACTTGTTTCGTCGACCGTTCGAAGTGCATGAGTACACCTATTAATATACGTGGCCTATTTTAATATAATACAGTTATAATAAAATGTATTCTTCAAAACTATGTTTTCGACAAGATGACGATAAAAAAATAATATTGACAACAGTATATATTATTATATTACATTTGTTACCGTTTACAATAATTAAAAACAATCAATATTATTTTGATAATATTGTTCCCCATTCTCAATTATCGACAGCTTCAGATATCGTATGTAGTCCTCATAGTGTACTAAATTATACGATGTCTTTGGTACATTGAAGTATGCAGGACACATTTAACTTCATTTTAGGTATAACGATATTATTATCATAAGTTATAACATTATTATATCCTTACACTCAATATGTATGACCAGCATGACGAATATGTACCTAAAATGCCTACGCATAACGCCTTGTTACCGCAAGGTAATAAAATACAAATTTCATATTATTTTCATTAACGTTTTAACATTTTAGTGTAATCGTAAAATTTGCACAATTGTTTATATCGTTATAGGTCAATATAAGTAATAATAATTGTATAAATTATTACGACATCAGAATAATATTGTGTTACTCTTTGGATATTATAAAATACAGCTTTAATATAGCTAAATATTAATCTGTTCTCACAAAAATATGTAGTTATGTCAGAGTTAAAAATAATATGTCCAGTGAATATAATGCAGAACCTATTATATTCTACAATGTTCAATGAACTATAAACTAAATATAAGCATAATTTGTTCGAACAATTTTAATCATTGTACATAATAATATTGAGTGTATTAGTTAAACTTAAACTATATTCTTATGGTAATAGGTATTTTTTTTAAGTTATATAAATATAAATATAAATATATGTTATGTTGTTAATTGTTAAGCATTTTTTTTTAGAGTTGTTAATCTTTCTATAAATGTAAAAAATAACTTAAATATCTAAGTTATGATTTAATATTGTAAATTTTTGCAGAAATATCACAACAAATGGTTATTGAATTCCCCTTAATTACAATTAGGGACACTAAATAGAATCATTGCGGTTTGAAGCTAAAATGAATTGTACATTTGTATGTATATTGTACAATATTACTATAAATTATAGAATCCAATAATAATCAACTTCACAGTATGAAAAACCAAAACGCCCTCTTAATTTTTATTCAACATTATATTGAAGGTAATGAATATAAAAAGTGATTGTGAACTAGGGTTTATGAACAAAACGCTTGTGCATTTTAATGGGTGAAGTGGTTTTAAATCATTAAATTATGGTTTAGGTACCGTTATATCTCTATATGACTCAAGATTTAATGTATTTTACAGTTACATAATTATTTTTAGTGCTCGAAATTTTCAATTCCCGAACCAGTAAGCACATGATTTAATATACCATATATCATATTATAATTTGGGTAGGTAATGTGTATTGAATAAAATTGTTTGTCATCGGAACTCAGACGTATTGAAGAATACTTCTAAGTACGATAACTGAACCGAATAAGTGAAAATAATAATTATGGTATTCTATAATGAAGCTGGCACCTATAATACATACTCTCATAATGCAGTATTCTATATTATTCATAATGATTTTCTGAATTTTTGTTTTAACGAGACCAATCGAAAATAAAACTACAAGAGATATCGAATGCAATTTTTCATAAATTTGAATGTTATTCGCACAGTTATTTCAAACTGAAACTTAATCACATCCCCTTGTATTTCATTAAACAAAAGTCTACTCCAAGCACTAGGTTTTTTTTAAGCTCCAACAAACCACAATGAACAATTATGGCTGCAGTTTTTGAAAATTGTTTTTCATTTATAACGACCGTCCAAGAAATTCTGAAAAATTTCAACAATGTCTAACAACATTTTTGGATAGGTTTAAATTGAATTATGTTACTTGTGTACAAGGAAGTACTGCCATCATTATTATTGTCTTCGCATTTGATAGTAATTTATTGTTTGACTGCAGGTAATACGTGTATTTATAAGTTAAACATTCATGAAAAAATACCACCTTATCCAAGCAAAAATATAAAACCCTGCGAGAATTCACCACTGTTTTTTGGATGGAGAGATTTTAATATTTTTTTTTTTATTCAGTGGTATTTTAATAATAAAGCAGAAGTAATTTTTCATTTTTTTGGGTCAGTCTAAATGTGTTGCAGAGCACGCATGCGACACACGTCTGATTAAATATAATAACAATGATAGTTATTATAATAAAGTTATAGTTCTACAACGATGACATTTATGACGTCCGCTTACGTTAAGAAAACTAGTATAAGATGTCACCAGCCACGTAATAATTTTGATTTAAGTTTTGTGCGGTGATTGCTATAATTCTAACACACTATCGTAGTAGTCGTAATAACCGAGGTAATAACCGTCTAAAAAACTTCATCTTCGTTATATGAATATAAACCTACCCATTTTCAACAGTGGAGGTGCAACCATGCCATATATATGCATAATATATATACATTACACCAACATATCTGTGGTATTGCGTGATAGGTTACAATATTAATTGTTATGATTGCACAAACACGTTGAGACAGAATGAAAAAATAATGAGAGAGTGCCGTGTCGACAAGTTTTATGTGAGAGAAAAATTCTATGGTTCTGCTCTTTTATTATTATTTTCTTATATCTAAAGATTATAACAAAGAAAAAATAAGCAATAACAATCACACTGCTATTTTGAATTTATTTACAGGTACCTACTTGACAAAAACCATATATTCTGTGCTCCACTATGCAGTAATAATAAAAAACTAATAAAAGTAATAATACATAAAGTTTTGAAAATATTTCGTTTTTTAGGGAAATTTATTAATTAATAATAACTATAATTTCAGTAGGTATAAAAATGAAAAGATTCTACTAAGAACACATGAACAAATACTTTTGTCTACCCAAAAATTATGTGACTCGTACTAAGAAGATTATGCATTATTCGATTGCGGACTAACATAAATATTTGTATACATTTTTAAAGGAGCATCCAGTCAACCAGTGCTTACATAATATCATACAGCGACATAACACATGACACGTACTTTTATTTTTCTTATTACAAAGCATATTTTCAAGAACTAAACGTCGACGATAAGAGTACAACACGGAAAAAGGTGTAACTGCACTACTGCAGCAATACCTACGTATATGTGACCAGTAAACGAATAGAATATATTTCTTAACGAGGTCAGAGACTATATTGTATTAAATTGTTATATTAGGATAGCAGGGTGTAATCGAAATATTTGAGAAGATCGTACGAGCGCATAATATAAAAGTTAACTGAGACGAAATAGGAAAAATAAGAGCGATCGGCAGTTTTTCTGACGTCGCCCGGCCAGCACAAGACTATTTAATATATTACTAGTGTATAGACGATGATACATATAATGACGTGACTACGTGTGTGCTCGGTCCGTCGATCTCGTTTTTTCTCGTCTCCGTCTGACTCGGCGGCGGCGTCGACGTTTTCCCTCCGGTACTTGCCCCTCGCCGCTCGTTTGGCCGGGGCGGAGCGCACTGACGCGGCGCGCTCAAATCGCCACCGCCGCCGCTGCTGCCTCAGTCAGTACCACGTCGGCGACCGTACTGAAAGCGCAAACGTTTACACCGACTATACCGCACGTAACCGAACACGACCACGTTCACATACACAAATCCTAGATAACGTGACACGTCGCGATAAAGTTTTTTTTTTCCCTCGTCGTTTTTTAAATAATATTTCGCTCAACCGTGCGTAGGTACGACAAACCAAGTACCCGGTTTTCGGTGGCCATGTCCGTTACCATAATTATATCGTGTTGACGCGTCCGTTTGGTGTCTGTCGTGGTGACCGAACGCATCCGAGCGGTGTCCGCCGCGCGGAAATCGGCCGCCGCGGATGGAGTCGCCTCGGACGACCCCGACGGCCAAGAGACCGCGGGCTGTCGCCTTGATTTGTCTGATCGCGGTGCTGTTGGCTCTGACTTCGGGTGAGTGTTATCATTACGTGTACATCGACTTACCTCTATTACCCCCAATTAAGCAAATTGGGCCGATCTGTAATCAAATCAAATAATGACGAATATACCTAATTCCTGAATCTGAGATCAAAATGGATAAAAAATGTAATATTTCAAATCGAAAATTTAAATCGCAGTTATCATGTACCTATTTATAGTTAAGACAACACATTTTACATATTTTATCGGAAATACATTTTAATACAACAAAATGTTAACGCTGTTATTGCATACCAAATTTAAGAACTTCCCAACATAATTATTATCAAGTTAATGATATGCATTTGTAGTAGACACAACAATATGACTGTATATATATGATATATATATGTAATATATGATAATAAAACATTTTTTTTTTGTTTAAAAAATTCCAATATTATGAATATTACAAGTACACGTGACACGTGTAATTAATATTTACAATTTAAAAAATTACATTTTTAATTTTCCAGAGGGGTGATTGAGGAGTTTTGATTTCCATACTATTATACAATGGAATTTTAACTATATGCTTACACAAAATAATATACCTATCAAGGTTTCTATACCCAGATACCACAATTTTTCATTGTGGGTAGTTGCGTCATAGCGGTAACAAACGATACTTAAGTCTATAAATAAAAATATGATATTTTCATCTGGTTAAAAGAAAGTAACGATTTTCAGAAACCACTCCTAAGTTATGGGCAAAAGTCAAATATTTGAAATACCCGAATCGTTAGGTATAATGTCCCTTAATGTTATATACGATCATGGGCGCGCGGGTGCAAATATCTAATGTCTTTATGACCCACACCACTGCTGTACAATAATGAAATTATTTCGACGAATTCGGAGATTAGACCGTTTAAAGTATCCGTAAACAAACAATATAAGATTATACTAAAAATAGTTTAATAACTTACTTGTTCACGAAACAACTCATGCGTAATTTAAGTAAAACTAGATTTTTTTCTTCGTCGTGTATAAGGACTTCGACCTGCCCAGAAAAATCGAAATAATATATATCGATATTTCGAATAATGCATGTATATGTATATATTATATATACCCTCAGTGCCTATAATACATGTATAACTTTATCACACACATTATTATTATGAGTACATTGGTTCATAATAACCACTTTTCGCGATAAATTCTCCACTTTCACCGCGTCACGATTAGTAAGCTCTTCTCGTCTGGAGTAGGTGCTGTAAGGGCATTTATTATAGAGGACCTCAAGTGGACACATCTGAGGGACACGAATATTGTAGGTAGTCATAGAAAATCTTAATCGTTTTGTGTGCACTTCAACACATTATGTTAATAATGTAATATATTATGCACTATACCCATACAAGGAAATTATTTTTTGTTATTATATATAACCACTATATCTTTATTTCTTTCCTATGAATAAATCTGTTTCAGACGATAGCGGCAAAATGTGCTATTCTTCTCTGGTACGAAATACCTAAATTTAATAGCTGCATAATAATGAAAATATATAAATTATTTTTTTTTTTCATGACTTAATTAAATTACGAGAACGTTATAATATTAGTTTTTATTTTAATCAGTTATTAAATAAACGTTCCACATCGCAGACTGTGGTTGAAATTGTATTCATTATTTAATTATATAGTATTTTTTTAAATAATTTTCTTTCCACTCAAAACAAAAGTTAAAAAAAAAACGAATCAGTTTCCCCGAAAACCCACAATAAATGCAAAATAATTATCTAGAAACAGACTTAAGAAGAAAGGAAATTCAGTGTTTAAAATATATTGTATTTTTGATTATTAATCATGGCCCATAGGACAATTTATTAATACCAATTAACATTGTAATATAAACATGTATAAATATTTATAATATATTATTATTCATTATACATTTTACTGATACGATATGGATAATTTAAAAATAAATAACTTTTTCTCTTCAGACTGTATATATTTATCACTATTAAATAATATTGTGTCATCAAACTTTTTCCTTTTTTCAATAGTTTTACAATTATTCATTGCATAATATTAATTATCTAGTGAGGAAACAACATGTGTTGTATACTTATGTGTGATCCGTATTATATACCAGCATCCAGGTTAGTGTCTTTACTTCAAAGTTAAAATCACATAACTATTATGTTTAAAAATAAAATCCCAATATTATGAGTTTACATTTATTATCCGATACACTTAGTGATTTCATAAAGAACCACTGAAAAACTATTCATCAAAAACCAAAATCGCATAAAAATAATGAAATTATAGCATACAAATTATAATTATATATAGAACCCAGATCCGAGATAGTCTCCTCGGTCCGCTTAACGCTCTGCAGAATTCAATATATAATCGTCGCCGTGGGTTCAAATATAATATTATGAAAATAAAACGCCTCGCTAAAATATTTTAATTACAATATTTTTTCCCTCTGTACATATTTTTACAAAACTCGTTCAAGTATGTACAAAGGGTGCGGTGTAAATTTTAACAAGGATTTTAAAATTATATTATTATTTCCCTTTAGGCATATTAGTTTATAGTCATGTTATAACCGCGTTCTGTAATTTTTTTTGGGGGGTAAAGTATAATTTATTTTTTTAACTCTAGACTTTGTTCATCGTTGCAACACAATGTAATATAATACAAATTCCATTGTTCCCAAGTCGATATATTATTTTATATTTCATCTGAAAACACGAAAACCTCAATCTTATGCGAACATACGCTTGTGTATACAGTCACGCGTCCACGACGATATTTGTATATAGTTCTCAGTTTCAGAAAAACTGCTGCTAAATGACAATCGATCGCAGTCTTATCGATATTATTTATTATGTGACTTATTATATTATACGCTTGTTGTTTATCGGCTGGGTACACAACAATAATATACCTACCTATGTCCTATATGGCGTAGTTTATTTTACCAACATAAAATAAATAATTTGAATGTGTGTGTGAGCTTAATATAACATGATACAATAGTAACATATTATTATTATCTTTCGTTATAAATCATATCATTTTTATAAGTGAAAAAAATGAAAGTCGAAACTCAAACCTACCAGTAAGAAAAAAAACCATTAAAATAATCATATTTAAATATACACAATATTATTATGTAGACTACGACTTACAGAGCACAGTTTTTTGTTATCTATCTTCAAATTGTGTTGCTTTTCGTGTAGACTGAGCTACAGAGTGTTGTATACACGGATGCGTTAAATTTTACAACGTATATTTTTTGCACTATCTATAGTTGAGCGATTCAAAACGTAACGACCATTTATACGCGAATCGCTGAATATTACACAAAAATCGTTATACACACATACATGCCTGAAACAAACAACTACCTACATAAAAATGAATATTATTGTTGAACGTTTTATTACAAAAAAAAAAAAGAAAAAAACCTGCGGTGCAGATAACGGTGATAAGCAATAATATTGTAATTTATTATTTTACGGACGAGTAACCTTACTCAGTGCTCCTTTACTCTTTAGTACCTATATTATAATATGTTTAGGCACTAAATAGAAACGCATGCGTTACACCATTATTCTATAGATTATAAACCATTATTTTAATAGATTATTTATATCTCAATCCAGTATCTAAATTTCATAGTATACTATTCTGGTGTATAACAATAATGATTGTATTAAACATACATATATTGTGATGGTTGATTAAGGACACACGCGCAAATCAAACAGGTACACATCGACAACCAGAACTCTCGACCACTAAGTAAATATACATCAGTAATTGTTATGGTATACAATGTATTGTAAGGGTACTGAAATCGTCTAACCACTCTAACGCTATGTACATTGTTATAATACATACCATCATGTGATTATTGTTATTACAATAATATGTTACTCGTGTTACATATTGGGAACAAACAATTATTTTTAAAATATTTATGAATTATTCTTCTGTTTAGTTAACTGAAACTGAGAATAAAAACACAACATTTGTAGTTCTAGTGTTTAGTTTGAAAATTTGAGTACCTACATTTTTATCGAGTTTAAAATGTTAATGTTTTAAAATTCAATTTATTGAATAACTATGTACGTTTTTTTTAGTTATATATGAAAGGATTTTGTTTATAATTGTTAGTGAGCTGGTGTGTACCTGCACGAGGAAGTATTAATTACAGCTAAACACCTTTCTCGTTAAAGCAATTTATAGTCATAATATATGTTATGCTTCTTACATATCTGCTAATATACCTTTTATTCACTTCTGCGATTGTTACTGCGTATGGATTACTGTTTAAATTAATATTATTCCGTTATAGCTCGTTTCACAAACACATATACACCCACACACAAGTATCACTAACACATATTTTTCTTTGCCGCCGGGTAAATTCAGCTGCAAAGTTAATATATTGGTGTAATAGGTGTATATAATATATTATGTAACTGCCTGATACTGGCTGCTATAAATAAGAATAATTTTTTCTTCATATATTATTATAATTACTATTATACCATATAAGGTTAGAATAATGTTAAATATAATATTATATTGTAATAAAAATAACAAGGTAATATATTAATTATTATAATATCCGAAAAACTAGAACATATAATATTATAAATTACCTATGTACTTTGGTGGTTGTAAATGTAATACATTGGAATAGTTTTGAATTGATGAGGTGGAAAACAATAAAATAACAAATAATATATACATGCACATAATAGTCACGACACTCGTATAATTATTTGGGTATATTGCCCATCACCAATAACGTATAGATGGTGAGCGCTGACTGGCAAATCGCTTGTATGTGTAGGGTATTTACTATAAGCTAGAATTCCGTGATTATTTCTTGTGACTGTCGTTACAATTTTATTTTTTTTGTTCGTAGAGCGAGAAGAATTAAGACACGATTTATATGGTCAATATAATACGTATGGAACTGCGCATAAAATTAAAAATTAAAATAATAAACTA